GTATCGGCTGGTTTGTGGTTCTCTGCTATGGTTAGCTGTGCGAGGTGCGCACTGTTCGGCGTCGGATAATCGAATGACGGAATGAGCCATTTGCCATTTAAATGATCTTTATTTCTTGTGAATGTGTGGTTTACATGTATGAATTTTTTAAGTGACACAGATGCGTCTTTTCAACTTTAGTACATTTGAGATTTTAATTATTATTTACAGTTCCTAGTCCTATCAGGCCTATTTTAAAGTATGACCACCTTGGTGGGATTGGTTTGATTTGAATTGGAAAAAGGAGACTACTTATAACTACTATTTACAACTACAACTAATCTACAACTACTATGTACACCTAACCTACTATATACAAATTGCTTATCAAAGCATATTCTGATAAATTACATTTTTGTGCAAATTTAGTCTTAATTTCGTTAATTTTGGAATCTATTTTGGCAATGCCTGCCTCTTCATGTAAATTTGTTATTCTAGTGTCGAAAGGACGATCAAGAACCATCCTCAGCACTCTATTCTGAGCGACCTGAATTTTGTTCCTGTGAGTCTGTGCACATGATTCCCACACCGGAGCTGCGTAGAGGATCGCAGGTGCTATGATTTGTTTGTAGACGGCCAGTTTGTTTACCCTTGAGAGGCGAGATCTGCGGCAAATCAGCGGATACAGACACCTAACCAAGGCAGAGCACTTGACTACTGTTTTCTCTACATGCGGACGGAAGAGGAGCTTGTCATCGAACAGCATCCCGAGATAGGTTACTTCGGCAGACCACTCAACCCTTGTGCCATCCATGATTACAGTACAAGATGGAGCCGGTTTCAGTTTGGGCGATTGCCGATGGAGGAACATGATCGCTTGTGTTTTGGAGGCATTGATTTTGATTTTCCACGTGGTGGCATAATCAGCAAAGGCGTTAAGGCATCGTTGAAGTTTGTTCGTTATTTCGCGAGGCATCCTTCCTTTGACGGCTATTGCGGAATCATCTGCGAACAGGAAAAACACGCAACCGTCTCCAAGGGGAGGAATGTCGGAAGTGTAAATGCTGTAGAGCAAGGGGCCCAGCAGACTGCCTTGCGGAACTCCTGCTGGGATGGAAAACGTGTCTGAAAGACAACCATTCAACGATACCTTAAACGACCTTTGCTGGAGGTAGCTACGGGTGATTTAAACCAGATGTAATGGAAAGTTGAAGTTACAAAGCTTGAATACAAGCCCATTGTGCCAGACATTATCAAACGCTTTCTCAACGTCTAACAAGGCCATGGCTGTGGACTTGGATACAGCTTTGTTACTTCGGATGTTATTCATCACCCGCACTAGCTGGTGATTTGTGGAGTGCCCCTTTCTGAACCCAAACTGTTTCGGAAGGAGAATGTTATTTTCCTCGACAAACCCGGGGGCCTTCATGTTTTTGGTGCATTTCAGCGCTGAGCAAATCTGTTCCACTGTGATTCTATTCTCCGGAGGGATGGCACAAGGGGAGGAATCAAGGTTGAGTACGCATTGCTCAACCTGAACTTCGAGCGGACTTTGGATGTTGGCGCCAAGCAAGTGCGATTTAGCAATATGCTCACCAATCGCATTTGCTTTCTCCTGAGGGGTGATTATGAGCCGATCGTCATCATTTTCATCTTTTAGTGGCGGAATGGGTTTAGGGTGCGTCTTTAAGACCTTGGCAACTTTCCAAAATGGTCTGGAGTGGTTGTCCAGATTCTGGACAAGCCGCCCGAAACTTTCGTTCCGGAGTGAGACCATTCTGGAAGCAATCTCCTTGTTCAGATCGCCCATTTCACGTTTCCTCGCTTGATCTCCAGTCCTCTGAAACTGGCGTCTACGAACCTTTCTCAGGCGAATTAAGAGTTGGGTGTGGGAATCAATAGCAATAAACTTACCCCTCACATGAACTCGTCGGACGCACCTCTCGTCAGCCACGGTTATGGCTTGGTGGAGTCCCTCCAACGCTCGGTCGATGTCCTCCACGGTGTCAAGCGGCGGGTTGTCGATGATGTGCCTGTCTACCACCCGTCCAAACTGGGCCCAGTTTACGTGATGATAGTCCTTGCGCAGGCTTGAAGCAGGAGCCACGTTGCAGCCCAGCTTAGACACCACCGGTTGGTGGTCGGAGCTGAGTTCGTTCAAGGCTACCGGCTTGGACAAGCCGATATTTGTCAGGAACAGGTCTAGCGTCGATGGGTTGCCCGCCGGTGAGATAAATGTTGGCTCATCCGAAAACCAAACGGAGTACAGCCCATGCTGTGAGTGGTCGAACAGCAGACGACCGTTCTGGTTCTGCCTGTAGTTAAGCCAGGCCTCATGGCGAGCGTTTAGATCTCCTCCTACTACGAAGCGGGAACCTGTACGGGTGATGGTGGAAAGGTCGTTCTTGAATTTAGCCGCTAGTCCACTGCTGGCGGCACACTGTCGAGGGCAGTAGACGGCGATGAACTGGACGTATCCAGTCGACGACTCCACCTCCACACCAAGGGCCTCGATGATAGTGGTGCGGATATGGGACAGAGTGTGGTATTTTATTACTTTCTTGACGACGACCGCAACACCACCCCCCCCCCCTCCCCCCCTGGAGCTGGTACGATCAAGCCGGATAATGTTGTGATCAGGCAACCAGAAGCTGTCGCCGGACTTTAGATGGGTCTCGGTTAGAAGGCCCACGTCGATGCTGTGCTTGCGGAGGAAGTCGGCAAGCTCAATCTGCTTAGCTCTTACAGAGCAAGCGTTCCAGGTAGCGATGGTTAGCGGTTTAGACACCATATTGCATGATGAACTTACCGAGCACTTGGATCTGTTCGAGCTTATTGCGGCACTTACGTAGAGCACCCGTTATGTTGATAAAAATCTCCATCAGTTCATCTGCTGAGAACAGATCGGGATTATTTGTTTGAGCTGTTGGTTGCCTCTAGGATCCATGAGGGATGGAGAGCTTTGTCCAGCAGAAGATCCAAACGTTTCTTGAGGGGGCGCGGATCGCACCCTTGGATTTGCTTGTCCATGAAGAGGTGGAAAGTCCTCCGTCCTGAAAGCCGGGGCCTTATCCTTCCTTCGTGCTGGTTGATTGTTGGTGGACGCTTGATTTCAGATGCGCTTGAAGTCCTCGCGTTTAGGGCATTGCTTATTGGATCCTTGGTGAGCACCACCACAGTTGGCGCATTTGGACGCTACAGCTTCATCCGCAGCACATTCGGAGGTGGCGTGGTCTTGAGCGCAATTTCCGCAGCGTGGCTTAATGTTGCAGTTGCGGGTACCGTGTCCGAAGTTCAGACACCGCTGGCACTGAGTCACATCGCGATGGCCGCCACGGTATGGCTCCCAGCGAACGATGATGGAATTGATGGTCCGGATGGCTTTCAGTGCGTTGAGTGTCACCGTTCCCTTCTGGAAGTGTACCAGGAAAAGGCTATCCGGATACGCCTTCACATTCTCGTCTCTTCTTGTCATTCGATACACGGCACTTGGGGCCAGCTTGTACCGGTCCCTGATTTCATGTTCGATAAACTTCGGGTCGAAATTTGGTTGGCCCCTGATGACGACCTTGAACGGTTTTTCACCGGGGATATCGTGGGTGAAGAATTCCACCTTGGAAGTCCTCAGGTGGGCGATGACCAAGTCATACTCCGCTTTGGTACGGAGCACCACCTTGGTGCCGACTCTGCCCAATTTGAATTCGGCTTTGACGCCCAGCGACGCCAGATCCGCGATGAGCTCGTTGAGATGGGCATTTTTCACTACCAGCGGAGGTAGCTTCACTCTTGCCGCGCTCATGTCGGCAGCATTTTCTTTATCGGCACCGTCACCGAAATCTCCGTTCGTCGCAGAGGCATCGTCACGACCAATCGTGCCATCGGACTGGCCTCGATTCTTCTTCCTCTTCTTGCTGCGTTTTTCCAACACAGCTGGCTGGATATTCCCATCCATGGGGAGAACAGCAAACCTGTTCGAGGTAGGCACACCGGAGCTTCCTTCACCGGGGTTCTGGACCTTCGCCGGGCTTCGTGACCGATGCTTCCCTATTACGGGGCACACACACACACGCACAACAAACCGCGAAAGAGAGAGCGCGAACACTATCGCCACGAACTTTTCAAACAACTCGAGAGAGCGAGCTAACACCGAACTGAACTGCTTGACGATCAAGCAGAGAATGATGTTGTTGACGGAATGAGACCGGCAGCCCGTCTTATATAGATGGACTCCGACTTGACGACTGGTCTGTGGCGCTCTGCTACGGTCAGCTCTGCGGGGTGCGCTCTGCTATGGTTAGCTGTGCGAGGTTCGCACTGTTCGGCGTCCGAGAATAGAATGATTGACTCGAGCAACGAATATCGCTTGAATACCTAAAAGATCTGTACTTCCAACCAATCAGAGGAGAGCAACTTCCCAGTGTTATAGAACCGTACTGGCAATCTATCAGAGGAGAGAATATTCTCAGTGATATAGAACAGCTTATTTCCCTTTTTCTTTTATTAATCGAATGATGAATTTGTAATTCAATAGTTTTAGACTTATTTATTTTATTATTGGATTCATCCGTACCCTACATTCCCTACCTGTTAATAGATTGTAGCCCATAACCTCGAGTGTGCCGCGAGTATTCGGACCCCTCTTGTACTAACTCTAGGAAACATAGTAAAAAGTATAATAAATTTCGGCTCCGTAAAGCTTCCGCATTTGACTCTTAATAAATGAATTAATTCAGAGCCCTGGTTCCTGTTATTACGCGTCATGATGGTCTTATGAAAATAGTTGTCAAACAATCGTCATTTGATTTTTCTACGCGTTGCCATCATTACTGGTCATCCAATGAAAGTTAAAGGATTCAACCAATGGAAACTACGTGTAGGTAGTTTAGTTTTAGCAACGTAAAAAAAGAGACTTTCCCTCACCACTTGAGTGGTGAACGATAACAGCACTTGAGCGCACAATCATTACATGCATCGTAGCTAACTATCTCCATCGGATCAGTTCGCTTTGGCCATTCATTTATCCAACACCGAAAAACGATGATCCCCATTAGAGGTTGGACTCTGGTAGCAGGGATGATTGGCTTAGTGTTATCGCAAGGTAAAATTCATACTTGGAGTTGTTTTTCAACTTACGCCATCTTTTGAATTATTTGCAGATTGCCAATCGGACACGTACAACTTCACCCGCCACTATAATATATCGCAACAGTTGGATCTCACGACCCAACCAAACCAAGTAATCGCCAGTTTCGTCGTATCGAAAACCCTATCGGCGAGCACGACCAACGAATACCTGCAGGTCAAAGTAGAAGATAATCTGCTCAGCTTCACCACCGCTGCCAAGTTTGTAGAATACGAGAAACTGGAAGTGACGACCCGGCTAAACCTGTTGATTACGTTCACTTGTCAGACGGGATCTTTGGTTGGTAGCTACTACCAGGATCTGCTGGAAGCGAACAATCATGCTCCGGAGTTTTCCCGAAGTGAGTACGAAACGACGGTACCGCTACCCTTGCCGAAGAACTTCGATTTGAGTCCTTTTATTGATGATGGGAAAGGGGTGGTTGCAGTAGATCACGACTTGGTGAATAATACGGTGGACTTTGCGGTAGGTGATAATCAGTACGTCAAAGTGGAATCGGTAAAAGTCAGTCCGAAAGTTTTCCGAGGGGTGTTGAAGTTGAAAGAGCAGGTATTGAAGCTACCGGAGGTGATTGAGTTGGACATTGTGGCCACGGATCAGGGGGTTCCGGCGAAAAGTGTTAGTGCGAAGGTGATTATCAAGCCGGATTTGACGATCGAGTATAACGATCCACCGGCGTTCAAGAGGACTTTTGTTCAGGAGGACTTCGATTCGGAAGCGGGGAATGCCGTAGTGGTTGAGTTGATTCCTGGAACGGTGCACGAAGCAGTGGAATATACTTTGGTGGGCGAGGATGCGTCGTACTTTAAGTTGAGTGCTGCAGAAGATAAGAGCAAAGCAACAGTGGTTCTGAACAAAGAACCGAAGCCGCCCAAGGGAAAGTATTTCTTGAGTGTAGTGGTGGAGGCGAAGAGGTCTGCATTGCAGACTTCTGAGTGTGTGATTCTGATTGATTTGAAGGAATCAGCGCCACCGGAGGGGGGTGTGAACGGTACTGTAGTGGAGAAAACGTTGAGTATTCTTCATTTGGAAGAAGAACGGATACATACACAGGTGTTTCCTAGCAAGGTTGATGATTGCTGGTATGGAATTGTTTATCAAATTCCGAATCGAACCGAGAGTATTTTCCACGTTGACGAATTGACCAATTGGATTGTATCTTCGGAATTTGACAGGGAAGATGTAGATTTGTTCAAAGATGTAGACCTTCCACAGTTTCAGCTGGTTCTACAACTGAATTGTCCGCCGTCTGAAGGTGATGCAGTTTCACCTCCAGTGTTCGTCGACGAGATTCCATACTCAGTAGATACTACCTACATCAGCGTCTTTGTAGACGACATCAACGATAACGCTCCGGTTTTCACATTCCCGAAGCAAGACGACGTATTTGCCTTTCCTGTTGCACGTATTTCGGAGCGATTGTTACCTTCCAGACTGTTGCAGGTGACTGCCAACGACCTGGATGCTGGTTTGAACTCCGTCATCCGGTTCAGTGTAACTCAAAATGACCACTTCAGCATCGATCCCAAGACAGGCGTTGTCTATCCGATGAAGAATGCTCTAGATGGTGAAGAAGTTATCCAGCTGGAAATATTGGCTACCGACCGAGACGGTGCCGCCGATGGTAATGTTGCCAAGTTGAAGATTCAGGTCGTTCCAGCTGTGTCTTATCAACTGTCAGTGCTGCAGGTGGAAGGAGTGGACGAGCATCAATTGGTTGAATACATCGATAAGCTGCAAACGCAAAGTGGGTTCGTTATTCGAACCGTTACTGGAGGTTATACATCGTTGGTGGACGCGAGAACAAGGGAAACCGATTCCAATACAGTTCAGAGGCTGATTGTTGTTGCTTTTGACCGGAAAAAAGAACTAGTATCATCTGAAGATCTTGCGAGGTAAGTTCTCAAAACTGAGCATTTCCAGGCCGAATTGCAAAAAAATTAGCCTCGAACATCTCCGATTTGCATGAAACATGGACAATCATTCACATTTTTGCTAAACTTCGGCCATTTTGAATCGCGCATAAAACTAACTCGAAAATGTCAATTCCAATTAAATTAAAGTTGTAGAAAAAGTAATTCCTTATCTGGAAAAATATACACGGTAGCAGTGCTGCACAATTTCGACAATACACGGTGATACTCAAAATTCTGCTTAGGTCACTCGTTTGAGCTAAGAGTCATCGTCAAGGCAAACCATGTCAATTGTCAGTGGCATTTTTGTCAGTGACGAACATATACTGATTTGTTTATTAGCTAAATTTAAAATGAAATTAAATGGCTTGAGGAAAACAATTACATGGAGCCATTAAAGTGAACAAGCATCTACGGCCTGAATAGCTTGGATAACAATAATGTGTCTCAGAATGCAAGAAATTACCCTTTCTGTTACCAGGTGAATCTTTGTCATTGACGAAAAAATGAATGAGATTTTGACAAAGATTTTTTTGAGGATCAAGTCTATCATTGACTATGTGAAAAACAATTTTGTCAATATCGCGCAAAAGTCTGTCAATGACAATGACAAATCTCAGCACTGCACGGTAGTATATTCCATGTAAAATAAACCTTTTAAATATTTTTAACTAAAAAAGTTATAAAACATGCCACCTTCAAGTTGGACACTAAGAATATAACAAAAATCATCATTTAGGCACATTTTTAACTTTTTTATTAAATATTTATTGCAGTAGAATGTTGCACAGTAAACGATTTTGGAGGTCTAAAAATGTATTTCTGTGCATAAATTCACAATAAGGGAGCATCCATTAATGACGTCACGTGTCTAGGGGAAAGGAGTTTAAGAAAATGTGATCAAATGTGACAAACTTTTGTTCAATCGTGACGTCACATCACCAAATTTTTAAGCTTTAATTTGTTAGATCATTTTACGAAGATCTCAGCAAACATTTCATTTCATTGCTGAGATTCAGCTTAGCAGTATCCGAGACTCAGAAATAAAATGTCAATTTTGCTGAGATCTCAGCGAAATGAGTGCGTTGAAATGAGTGAAATTTGCTATAAATCACCACATTTCATTATCGATGTTGCCCACTTAGAATTGGAACAAACATTTTTGATTCTTTTGTAGTGCAGTTCGAAACTTAACATGGAAGAATAAAGAAAAAAATAATTGTGCGAAGTCATTTGGAAAACCCCTCGTGGTCTGGACCCTCGGCGCCTAATACATAGGTGCCACAGTCGGAAGAAGTGTTAGTTTGTTTACTAAAATGAACCATGCCCATTTTGTTATGGCATGTTTGCTATAAGAAATGCGCCTCGTGTTTATTAGCGAATTTCACATCAAAGATTGATTAATTGAGTAGGAAATCAGTTTGGCACGGCATTTGTGACCAGCATACACCTTCCGGTAGTATGAAACAGGTAAAAAACTGTTCAAATCCGCAGATAAAAATTTTTGTTTTGAATTTCTGTATAGCAAAATAGTGAAATTTTCGTGAACATTAACGGCAAAGAACTCACCAACACTGGGAGACCGTGAGTTCCTGCCCACCTGTCATAAAACCGTCTTGGTCTAATGTTTATTTATTTCCATTTCGTCAAGCCAGTGTAGACTACATACAATGATTATTACAATGTTTACTTACATACTATGCATTAATTCTATTCTGTTTTAGCTTAGTTTGTATTTGCTGCTTGGACATAGTGATGTCAATAGTTCCGCAATGCAAATTATATAGGCGCATCATTCGATTGATTGGGCTATTTTTTGCATAAAGGGTGTCCACGATGAAATTGCCACACACAAAATTAATTCGCAAAATTCGAGTTTTCATCCGATTGCCATCAAATTTTCAGGGATTGAGAAATAACTATTAAACTTCATTTTAATATTTTACTCGTATTTTATTTACAGTCCATACGCAAATGCCCGCACCTTGGCCTTAACCCCGGCCATAAGATTCTGCACAACCTGTGAATCAACCGTTTTTTGCATGTAAACCCATACTTTCTTCAGTTCCTCGACTGTCTTCACTACCTTAGGTCGTTTAAGAAGGTGCTGCTTCATAATCGCCCAGTACTTCTCGATGGGGCGGAGCTCCGGAGTGTTGGGAGGGTTGAACATTTTCGGCACATTTTTGTCCGCATACCACTTCAGCACGTCCTTGGAGTAGTGGCATGAGGCCAAATCCGGCCAGAAGATTGTTGGGACGTTGTGGGCCTTCAGGAGAGGAAGCAGCCGCTTCTGGAGGCACTCTTTTATGTACTGTACACCTGTCCGTTCATCGTGTCCTGGGTCACGAAAGGTGCACTCCGCTTCCCGCACGTGCAGATGGCTTGCCAAACCAGGAATTTCTTCGCAAATTTGGACATCTTCTGAGTGCGGACATGCTCCGGAACGCTGAACTTATCCTTGGCCGTGAAAAACAGGTTGCCGGGGATCTGTTTGAAGTCGGCCTTCACATATGCTTCGTCGTCCATGATGCAGCATTCAACTTTCGTCAGCATGTTGAGGTACAACTTCCTGGCACGGGTTTTGGCGGACTTGTTCTGCTTCTCGTCGCGATTAGAGGCCTTTTGTACCTTGAAAGTTCGAAGCCCAGCCTTAGTTTTGGCCTTCTGGACAAAACTTCGGCTTGGGTGCAGCTTCTTAGCCACATCCCTAACGGAGGCGTTCGGATTTCGGTTGAAGGCCCCAACTACGCGGTTGTGATTTTTGGTGTTGTACGGAATACTTTTTCCTTCACTTCTGGGCTTCCGATCGGTGGTCAACCGTTCCTCGAACCGCTTAATCACTCGCGAAACCGTGGAATTCACGATTCCCAACGTTTTAGCGATGGAACGATGCGAGAGATCCTTGTTCTCGTGATGAATGCGCAAGATTTTATCACGCACGAGCTGTTCTTTCGACTCCATTTCCGCGAGTTTTGATCACAGGACTTTAAAACTTGCAGGATGTAAATAATGCACTATGAACTAAATCCACCCAAATTTTCATTAAATTCTACCCAACGGTTAAAAAGTTAGAGCAATTTCATAGTGTGGCAATTTCATCGTGGACACCCTTTAGTTTGTTCTGTACGATGTTTCTGAAAATAAATTCCGTGTTCTAAGATATCGACAAGGTGTGTAAAAATTTAATTGTGCGAGAATTTCTGCCGAATCTATGCGCATTGAAATAATGTCGTTGATGAAGAAAAGCATTGCAAATTGGCGGCGCTCCTTAAGTGTTTGTATATTGATGAGCATGCAGCGCGCTTCATAAGATGGTAATGGAAATGCAGTCCAATTCAATTTACGTAAAGCATATAAAAGGAATTGTTTTTGGACAGATTCTATGCGTTCTTCGTGTATGGAAATGTATGGATTCCATACTAGGTGGCAGTATTCCAGAATTGGCCTTACATATGTGGTATATAAAAGCTTAATAGTGTATGGGTCTTCGAAATTATGACTGAACCTTTTGATGAAGCCTAGCATTCTGTTTGCTTTAGTAATGATAGTATTATAATGTTCTATAAAAGTTAGTTTGAAGTCTAGGATTACACCTAGATCTCTTACAATTTTGCTTTTTTCTACTATTTGGACCTAAGCGTACAAAAGTGATGGGTTTTTCCAGACAGACCGTGTGGCGTGTGCTGAAAAAGTACAGAGAAACTATTTCGACGGATCGCAAGCCACAAAGCAAGGGCGATTTGGCCAAAAAGTTCGGTGCCGCACGCAGGCAGGCTTCAAGTCATACCGTGCATGCAGACAACCAAATAGGGATCAAAAGCAGAACAATGTGGCCAGAATCCGTACCAGCTGTATGATCATGTGTTGACCAAATTCAAGGGCTGTCATCGATGATGACAAACCTACGTGATGGCCGATTTCAAACAGCTACCGGGACAACAATTTTACTTGGCTAAGGCTCGGGGAGATGTTCCTGCCAAATTTAAGTTTGTGTTTGCAGATAAATTTGCACGTAAATACATGATCTGGCAGGGCATGTGTAGCTGCAGTAAGCGGACAAAGACTTTCATCACGGATAAGACATTCAATTCAGAGCATTACAGGACGGAATGTCTCCAAACGCGAATATTTCCATTCATCCTATCCCACAAGCAACTTGCCATGTTTTGACCAGAACTTGCGAACTATCATTACAGTAAAGCTGTGCTACAGTGACATGAAACCAATGGGATTCAGTTTATTCGGAAAGAACTCAACCCACCTAATTGTCCCCAGTTCAAACCGAGAGATTTTTATCTATTATTAAGAGGATGAAGGTAAGTGGCAGTGTCGTCAAAAACATCCATGAATGGAATAAGCTTGCCAAAACTATGGATGCACCGGTTTATGAGCCATATTCTGGGAAATGTTCGAAAATTTCTGCGAAACCGGGATGTATATTTTTTTGTCCTTTAAAGAACACATAAAATCCAACAGTAGCCAACAGTGCCGTTGTGTTAATAGCCAGTCCTCCAAATGGTTGATCGCCTTCTTGACCGGTACGCTGGGAAAAAGAGCTGTGATGTCGAAAGATACCATAATCTCGTCCTGGTTGATGTCTCCTGAAGATTGTAGTTGCTGGGCGAACTCCTGGGTGTTACTAACTGCTTTACTCTGGAACTGATTCGGCATACTCTGAAATTCTGTGACTAGCCACTTCGCTAATTTGTGGGTGGGGTACCAACTGGTTGTGGGATACTCGCTGGGAACTCCGGTTTGTGGATTTTGGGGAGACCTTTGATCCTGGCTGTCAAATACCCCACAATATAGGTATTTTTGGAATCGGAGTAACGTGTGTCTGACGCCATTTTAATATCAAATATGTCAGAACTGATAGAAGTCATGCGATGTCGATGTTTAAAATAAAAATAGTGTTACGTCTATTTAAAAAAAAAATGTAATTATTTTCGATTAATTTGAATATTATTCGGGGTCGATTA